TTTATATCGTTTTTCATACCATATTATACAGGATTTCTACGGTCATTCAAAACCTGGAAAAGTCATGGAAATTCAAAATGCTAATTCCAAACAATATTTTTCCCAACGTTTTTGAAAAGTCATGGAAATGTAACTAAAGTTGCATCAAACAGAATTAATATTTGATCTAATCACCAAAATAGTAATACTATAATGATAATAAATACTGTATCGTATAGTAATGAAACGTAAAATTGAATTTAACTGACGAGGTATTTTGCTGGTGAGAGATTTTAGTTGCTTCAGCGTGTAGAAGCTAGTAAGCCTACTATTTGATTTGTTTTAGATAGATAGGCACAACATGTTTCATATGCAGACCTCATTTTCCTGTTCCATGTTCAAATAAACCATTTTCAGTGAGAAAGAGTAATTTTTTTTGGTCATGGAAAATTAGGTAAAGGTCCTGGAGAAGTCATGGAAAATCATTGGTTAAAAAGTGCATGAACCCTGACTATAGTATTAGTTTTATTATAATCGAATTGTGCATTTATCAAGACACAAACAAGAAGTCAGGATATAAAACAATTATAATAATATATGTTACCCACACAATGACCATTAATACATCCATTTCTAACCCTGTGTAACCTTACCTTCTTGAAGAGAGCTTTGTTAACTCGCCTCCACAGTAAAACAAGATTAGACAAAAAACAAAAGAAGTCTTGATGAATTCAATCAAATTGTTTAACTTGTTTCTTGTTTAACTTCTACAAAACGATATCAAAACATATGTTTATGAACTCTTACACATCTCGAGAAGTATAATAAAAGTCTCATTTATCCAGTCGTATACTCACATCTACCCAAACACATGCATTTTCACTAAAACCTTACTATTCCAAATAATCAGTATCACCTCTGCAAGCACACTACTGTTCTATACCAGTCTGGTCCGAAGGGTTTTAAATAGGAAGGTTTTTACCACAAATGCATGTTTGCCAAGTATTGAACATACAATTGGATGAACGAGACTTGTCTTTGATATAGTTTTGCTGTTTTTAAATGCATCCCCCATTCACTTACACATCAAGAACACTCTGTTTCTCTATGCTTTGTTCACCATGGATGCATGCGATAACGTTCTCTTCAAGAACTCATGGTTACATAAGGTCAGTTATCTACACATATCATCATATTGTCAATTACCTGTTTAATGTGAGGGACTGCGGATGGAAATGAGCTCCAAGCTAAAATCCGGCATATTTACACTAGTGTTCATTAAAGGTGGGGTAGGTAATTAACTTCAGAAACCCTTTTTGTTATATTCCATGGAATGCTCAAACATCCCGATAGCAATGAATATCTGAAGTGCTTTGACAATAAATACGTAAAAAAATGTCATCTGTGGAAGCCGTGGCGCTGTAAAAAGCACGACCAATCATCTGAGCCGGCCCGGCTAAAATAACTGGATGGCCTACCTGCCTGTCAGCCTTCCATCTGTGCACAAACTTATCTCGTGCCCTCATTGGTCATGTGCGCGTTTGTGTGTGTTGGAGGAGGGGCTTTGTAAGGAAGTCTGAAGGAAGGGGCAGATTTTTTCCGGTTGCGTGCTTTCAAATTCTAGCGCACTCGAGCTGGTTTCTCCATTCTTACCTACCCTACCTTTAAAGTACATTGTCCCTGCTAAATAAACGATGAAATGAAATTGGGTATTCTTTTAAGCTAAATAAATATGCATTATACAGGCTCCACAGTGGGATGGCCATTGGCTCAGAGGCTAAAGAAGCCCTGACCAGGCCTCGGCTGGGTCACGAGGACTGGGAGGAGAAGAGGCACCAGCTGCTGCTACAGAAGATGCAGCTGGAGACGGAGAGAGAGAGGCTGCACGCACGGCTGGCCGAGCAAGAGGAGAGGCTCAACGTGCAGAACCAGCAGCTTCAACAGTCGCGCCTCGATTACAGCAAGTGGGTGACAGGAGCCAAAGAGAAATGAACTGTATGCTATTTGGAATCATTGCTAGCTAGCGTTTAGAGGAATACGTTGATGTTTACATCTAGTCGTTAATCATAAAAGTTCTTGTGTTTATGTGTCCTTGTACTTCGGGATCTGTCATTGCAGACTGGCAAAACTTGAGTCCATTTTCTTTCTCTATTCTTTTTAGATTCCAACAAGCTACTCAATCTGATCTCAGCAGCTCCAACACTAGAAATAGAGACCCACAGCCTGAGGGTCCCCCCCACCAACATTTACCCTCCAGGTAAACTAAGAAAAAACTGGAAACGCATACACTCAAACTATATCAGTGAGAAACTAGCAAACTTTCTTTGACGCACACATGCAGACCGTACACATATAATTACATTTACATTACATTACATATCACTTGTTAGACGCTTTTATCCAAAGTTACTTACATACACTACATATAATACACACATATACCGTTTACATACACTAACTCTGACTTAAACTGTGTATGGTCCACAGTGTGTGTGAAGATTCAGAGGGACATCCTGCAGCGCAGAGCTCACATGCAAAACACTTGAAACCTCTACCCACTCATCTGGACAATGGCAATGGTGAGCTTGCATGTTCAATAATCAGATAGATGTCTCATCAATGGCAACATCTTGGCTCATCAAACATATCCTACAAGATCCTGTCAAGAGTTTCTTCGGACAGTGTTTACTTTTCATATGCTTGTACAACTTTGATAAAGAACTGTATATAATCATGGTCATTTTGCTTCTCATATAACACTCCTATCTTGTGTATCTTTACAGAGGCCTTAGAGCAGTCCAGAAAGGACATGGCTACATCTCCGGCCCCTGCAAACCTGAATAGACCCACCTCATCGTCTGTGATCCGAAAGTCCTCTGAGTCCAGGTAACACATCTTTAATAGTTTCTAGCTAAGTGAAATATTGGTTATAATGCTGGGAGTATTAGCTAACGTAGAAGAACAACCTCACTGGTCAACGGAAGTGGCAGACAAAAGTAGGTTTCTCATTCAACAACAATAAAAAACAGCACATTTAAGAGCTTGAAGGATCCAGGCAGCACTCTTTGTTCTGCGATAGGTTGACATTCTTAATGGAGCTTTCCTCAGGACTAATAAGGGTTTCTCTGCTATAGTAAAGTCTGAGTGAGCGTCTCTGTGGGTAGACTACTTCTGTCATGTAGGGACGTTTGTAAGATTATTGGCCTGCTGTCAGTCTGCAGTGTTTTACCTGTTCCCTCACCTGCTAAGGCATTTCCCCCTTGTGAATACATATTAACAATAATGAAAAGCATGAAAGCAGTACAAATAAAACATTTAGATTATAGAGGCTTTTCCTGGTCTTGCTGCAGTGTGGGAGGCTAAATGATGTCTCTTCTTAGCCCGGCTAACTTTTCGAGCCGTGAGAGGCTAAATGAAGCTTTTTACTTGGCTAGCTAGCGCTGTGGCCAGCCTGTCAGGAGACATGCTGCGTTCCATTAGTCGGCTTAGCAGGGACCCTGCAGCAGGTGTAATTGAACAGACTTCTGGATGCACACACTGCCCCCCCTTCTCTCGCTGCCACAGTAATGAGACAGAGTAAGCAAGAGTGAGGGAGGGATGTTAAAAGTGTTTTTGAGGGAGAGTGAGGGCATCGGATAAAGTGAGAAATCGGAAGAGGAAAGTTGGAGCAGGGACAGATGGATAGCAACAGTGAGAAAGATGTAGAGTAGTTTCGAGGACAGGGATGAATCACTGAGTGCGATCATCAGTTTTTTCGAAAAGGACATTTGCTACCCTTTTTCTTCCAGCCCTTACACAGGATGGTAATTAACCTGACGGTCTAACCGGGTGTGTATGTGTGCAGAAAGCAATTTGTTACAGTGGTGCTTCAGACCTGTATTTTTTAAAAATGTTATTCCTAGCTGATGCAATTTGTTCTTGTATAACGTCACCTTTCCTTTTTGTAAACGCAGCTGTAGTAGGAGATACAGTAACTGTGGGACTGCTTCTCTACCTCATTTCCCTAAAGGACATTTCTTTAAAACAGCTCAAAGTTTCCAACTTCAGATCAGTAACTCTTAAACAAAGCAGTGCGTGGTCCGAGTTGGATTGTGAGCTCCAGCAGATGCCCATTAATTCCAGCAGGGGACCCGGGAATCAGATCTTATTACCATCCATTTACACCTCCAAAGCCTATTAAAATGGTCGGGCTGTTCCTCGCTACACACACTGTTTTTTCTACAACCAGTAATGAGGAAGTCTGCCTCTCGGATGCCTTTTGTGGTTTTTCTTGCAATCAGTTTTCTTTCATGTGCATATTTTAAAATAGTTGTAATCCTTTGGTAATCCAGTGATTTGGATTAGACGCCTCTTTTTCTTAAACTACAATCATTGTTTGGAAAAAGGAGCTTAATCTGTATATAATGATAATAAACTGCTCCTTGTATGTATTAAAGAAAAACACTGCTGTGGAAGGAGAGTAAACAAGATGAAATGAGTAACCTACAGTAAGATTTTGGAGTTTACCTGCACCCCCCCTCCTTTGCTTGGCAACAGCATGCCCCTGGTGACCATCTAATCTTAACCAATTCAATCTCGATGTGCAAATTGCAAAAACGAAGCTGGGGTTAACATTAAGTGACCTTCTTAATCCTTTCATGAATCCTGCGCTAGTTAGTAATGAGACGGTTCCAGCGCACCCCGCCCATCTCATCTCCATCCCTCCCGCCATCGCCCGCCTGCTATTGATTGGTTGAGAAATTGACATGCGGGATATACGCAGTGGCCATTATAGGTTTTTTTATCTTACTGTTTGGACTGCAAATGAAAAGGGGCGCCGGGGCGAGACGGCTATCTTTAATGAAAGAGGGGAGCCAAATAAGCAGTGAAAGTTACGAGTGGAGAGAAGGAGGTATCTGGCCTTAAAGAGCTAGGAAAGAGACAAACAGTATTGCTGCGCTGGGAGCATGAAGCCCAAACGTTTTTATTACACTAAGAAAGGTTTTACAAGACCTTTGTGATTTTTTACATTCAGTCTCATAGAAATCTGTTTGTCATTGAAGCGTCTGTATCAGTGTAGGGTCTATAAAATGCTTTCTGCAGATATATGATTCTGCTTTAGGCTCTAATACTGACAGGCACAGAGGACTGATGTATTAATAATACCTAAATGTTGGCAGAGCATCAAAATAAGTTGTTCTTCCTTTCCTTTTTTAAAAGGACTGTCCCTGCTTCTCTATGCATTGTGTGTGTGTGTGCATGTGGCAGTAAAATAGATCAGCCCGGACCCCTTA